ATAGATTGCCACCCCAATAAGTAGGCAATTATATTGAACCGTCTGTTCAATTTCGGATAAAGCCAAGTCAGGCTTACTACTCAAACATATTAGTATAAATTGAAGAGAAAACAAAGGGACGAAACTGAATCTTCAAGTTAATTTGCTAGAAGCTTTTACATAAATTGTTTTAATTACCTTTCTCAGGGGAAGCCATCACGAAGCTGAATACACTCAACATACATTTTTAAAATGAAAGGAAAATTTCACTTTGAGTTTTTGTATTCCCCTAGGCAGGCTAAAATTCGAAGGCTCTTTTTTGAGAACATAGTTCCACTTTAAAAGGTTTTTGGGGAAATGTTAAACTTAAAACGCAATTTAGTTGAAAAAAATTTCCTTGCTAAGTTGGCTTTATTTGGTGTGAGGTACATTGTCAAATCTGGCTTACGTGAATGAAGTAGATAATAAGCCAAATTTGATGTATGACCCGTGCCCCTTACGACTTTCATCCGGCAATAAAAATGGCTCTACGAGGCACGCAGTCTGGAAATACATAAATTAAGGCACAGCCGGTAATAACACTAAAGGCAAGCCGACAATTTTAATGAGCCGCCTGACAGGGATATGGCCGGGAACCGGTAACGAAACCATGAATGAGACTGCGAGCTAGGAGGCAGCGATTTCATTCGAGCGAATGTACACGGAAATTTGCTCATCCCGCAGGGCAGCAATCGACTCCCGACCAGGCATACGTTTTAATTAAGCGATACCCGGTTTTCGTTTTCACAGTTCGCCGGGCAGCAGGCAAGAGGCATCAGGAACGGCCATTCCACGGGCAATGATGTACTACTAACTTGGCCGCCATGAGCAACATTCCGAGGTGGGCAGCCCTGCTGCTGCTCCTGGGCCTGGCCCATCAGCTGGACCCCTCGCTCGCCACCTCCTCCTCCTCGTTCTCCTCCGGAAACGCCTGGCAGCGCGCCCTATACGGACGCGACTCGCGCAACCTGATGCACCGCAGAGCCCCGTTTCCCGTCGCCGGGGATCAGGGCCTCAACGATTACCTTGGCCCGTATGCCGCCGCCGAGCAGGAGCAGCACCAACCGCTTCCTCCGCCACAACAGGTGAGTGTGGTGGGTGTAATTGCAAGTAATTGCAGGGCGGAACTATAGTGCAGGGGGTAAACCGCTGACGAGGATTGATACCACATACCTGCAGAAAACAAAGATTTTATTCCATTTCGGAATGTAATCCTAATATGGATTTATTAGTAAAGTAATATACGCTAATTTCACAGAAATTTAAAAAATGATTAAAAGATTTAATTGAATTATTTTTTAAAAAGCTCACCAAACGCTTATAGAATAGAACTTATAAAATGTTTGCAGGCTGTGTTCAGAACAAAGTGAAATTTATATAAAATTGCATTAGTGAAAACGTAAAATATTTTATCTCTCTTGCCGAGGATATTGGTTTAGACCATTTCGTAGAAATTTAAAGTATTCTTTTTTACACAAATTTATACAAATTTTAAATTGTACTATGCTGACGCTCAAAACTGGTTTTTTAATGACTGAGTAGCCTTGAATGCAAACAAATTTAACAATACTCCATGCCTAAGGCATAACTTCCTGCTTAACTCAACATCACTGTCGAAAAGTCGGTTGGCTCGTGCACATTTTGATTCGTATACGCCATGTTGGCAGGCCACAAATAGCCGAAGGCATTTGGCGCAGTGTTTTGCAGCAAATTGAAATTGGAGCCGGTATGCTTTTATTGGCCACTTGGTTAACGGGTCTCAATCAAGGGAAAAGTTCAGAGTTCACAGCGAAACTGAAATTAATTACCGCACGACAAGCGTCAGCGTTATTGATAACCCACCGCTGCACTGCATTGGTGGGGAAATATAACGCATACGCCGCGTATACTGAACAAATGCCGCTCTAATTGCCACCGCTTTCGACCATCCCCACAGATGCGCCAACAGACAGAAGTTTACGGAATTGTGGAGCCGCTGATTGAGGACACGCCCTGCGCCGACCGCGCCTGTCTCCTCAACGAGGACTGCTGTCCCTCCGGGGTCTGCGTCAGCACATACGGAGGTAAGTTGGACTAATTGCGTTGCCGCTGCGCAACATCCTACGCTTTTGCACTCAATACTATACTTTAAGAGCTACGTGATATTTTAGCTCACCGTAAAGCCCAGAAAAGCGTTTGTACCAACTAATAGTTTTCATTGAGTATCGAAATACATTAGTTGAGGGTGACATATTACCCGTAGATTTGGTAGGAAATGAATGAAACCAGAGAAAACTCTGCAGTGCAGTGCCTCGACTATCAGATACCTGTTATTAGCTAAAGGCAGTGCGTAGAAGCGGAGATATGCAAGCAGCAAATAATGAAACCGTAAACTTAAAATAAAATATAAAGGATCTCAAAATAAAACCAACTAAATATGTTTTAGATTATTTCTTGAAATGTTTATAAGCGTTACTCGTAGAGTAATAGCGTATATTGTATTCGTCGAAAAGTATGTTTAAGGTGTAAGGAAGCGTTTCCAAACCTATAAAGTGTGTTTATTCTTTAACAGGGTTACTAACCAAGTCGTCTGATCTTCTGCCCGCACGTCCGTATGAACGCTGAGAGCTCGGAAACTACAAAAGCTAGAAAGTTCGGCATAATCATGTAGATTCTAGAGATTCTTGCGCAGCGCAAGTTTATTTCAGCAAGGTGTCGCACCCACAAGCTGGCAGCTTGTGGCACCCACATTTTCAAAAATTAATTTAAAATACATTGTTTTCATTTTGTTTGTCAATACCTACCGGCGTGCCAAAAATTGTTAAAATCGGAGCATTAGTTAATAAGTTATGGCGTCACAGCAAGTAAATAAAAATGAAAGTGTAGATTATAAAAATGTAATGTATATAAAAATGTCAGCATCGATGTTTTTCGCCCCTCTTCGAAGGTATGCATATACATATGTGATTAGAGGGAATCTGATAGTCGAGACACTCGACTATAGTTGTCTCTCTTGTACATTTAAAAAGTTTGTTTTAGCGATCTATAAAAAATCTAATCTAAATCTAATCTAAATCTTTAAAGAACTATAAGCAATTTTGGCAAAGAAATTAATGGTCTGAAAGGACATTTGCCCACCCAAACGCGAATGAAAAATATTGTTTTTATGGGGAAAACATCAAACGCCCTTTTAGACCATACGTATGTTCAGAAACATTGCTTAGAATCCTTTAAAGATTGTCATAACCAGACCCGCCCCATAATATTTGTGCCCACTTTTGTTGGGTGAACGAAATTTTTCGCAGAAGGCAAATGCGTTTATGTGTTCGGCCGACAGCGGGATTTGTGCCAGCGACATGCGGACTGTCCACAGGGTACGGTGTGCATGCTAGTCGCCCAGGAGGGTGTCTGGCGGTGCGAGTCGGACGCGGAGTCGGGAGGGGCCACCTCGCTGCTGGAGGACATATTCGGACTGAAGCAGAGGCAACCGCTGGGTAGTGAGTGCAGCAGCAGCAGCGACTGCCAGGTGATCAAGTAAGTCCACGTGAATCCAAAATACTTAAAGAAGGTCTAAAAATTGAATTGCATTTTTAGTGGCATGTGCTGCCAGCAGCAGCGATTGCACCATCGGGCAGCCATAAAGCTGAGCTGTGGCTATTTTCGCGATGCCTTCGACTGTGTGGATATGGTGGGAGCAGAGGTATCTATCCCTATAATATCACTAAAACAATTCTATTGTATTATCATAATTTTTCCAGCATCGCCGCAATTAAAGATCACAGTCCTTCGGTAGCAGAGCTCAGGAAATCGAAAATGAAAACAGCCAAACCGAAAATGAACCTGATAACTGATTGAAATGCAGCTATTCCTAGGATTTATTAAAATATTGCAACATATCCAACTGTTAAACGAATACATATCGAGATCAAATTGCTGTAGCATAGGGCAATTGGATTTATATAATATGCATATGAATATTTATTATTACTCAAACGATCTTAGATATCTAAATGTGTTTTTAGTAGAGACTATCCAAATATACTGACTGAGGCATTCAATGTTATTAACAGAAAGAAGAGTATTCCAATGCAATTTTACCATATTCAAGCAACAATTAAATCGTTTCACGTCTAAATGTAAATCGAATACAATAAATAAATGAGCAAAGATCTGCATTTCATCTTATCTTTAATTGTTCACAAGTCCTTACTAAGTGAAGAGATACGAAAGGTAAGTCCACAAATTCACGGTTCAACATTGTCCTAACCCATAGCAACCTGGAAATAACTTATATATTTGCTTATACAAAACATATTCAGAGCACCAGGAATGTACATTTTTCCCACCACTCGACGCCCAAGGCAGTTATAATAAATATTATGCATGCACCCGTTTTTTCCGCACGTTATGCGATTGCAAACACTTGGAACACAACAGCCAAAGGCCCAAGAACATTATTAAGGATGAATAGCCCAAAACATACACATAAATTAAATTGAATATACTTCAGAGCCCACAAAATAACTATTTAATAGATTAATTAAGTATACGCCAGGTTAGTAATGAAATAATTATAAACAAGGCAAGTTCTTTTACAAATATTTTCGGTTGGTTTTATTTTTGTATTTTATTTAAAGTGCCAGTAAAAACGCAGCTTAAAGCTAAAAGTTAGACTCTGTTTACACTTTCAACGCTTTTTTTTTAACATTACACCCAAGTAAATCATTCCTGCTCTCTCTTTCTCCATCTCTTTTCCTTTCTATATATCTCTCATGATCCAATCCATTACGATTAATACACATTACAAATGCTTTCGCTCTTAACATTATGGCTGAGACACTTTTCGCTTACTTGAGCCTAACATAAGTCGCACAAAGTGCATCGTTTTAGTTCTTGAAATCTTTGAAATTTGGAACCAAAATAATGTTTTGCCAGCAAAATAGGATTTCTTTTTTGTAAAATTAATTTTTTTATGTTTTTGCGCATTGATAAAGTCTTTTGTGTATTTTGTGTTCTTCGGTTTTAATTGAATCTTAAACTCAGTTGTTTTTAAAGTTGTTTTTGGTTTGGATCAGGGACTAAGGTTGTGGGTTTTAGGAAGTGCCCCACATCGGAGGTTGTTTTGGGGGTTTTTCTTAAAAACAACTTTCGGCTTAAACTTAGCTTGGAACAAAGTCAAACATGAATCAATCGCTCTTTGTTTGACTTGCACGCACAGACTATATACAGATTTTACAATTACAGGAATAGTTTCAAAAACTAATATACATACGCGAATACAGCTAAAAACATTTTGTTTAAATTTGTTTCCCAATGAAATCGATTGTGTTCGTACAGGAAATGATTAACTTTAGTAAGCTTAAATTAAAATAGGAAAGTAAATTTCGCAGACCGAAAAAATAACAATATGTAGGTACTATATAATCATAACCCTAATTACAATCTTGCATGCACTGCTCGTACAAGCTCTTACTTGTAACTTACATCGAAATGATTAAAATGTTAATTAATGTTTACTTTAATCTCTCAGCTGGCGTGTGTTGATGGTTTAAGGAAACATGGGTTGTGTTGAAACTACTATTGCATTCTGGTAATGGATTGTGTGTACAGGTATACATTGATAATGGACTCATTCAGCTTTATGGCATTTGATGTACGAAATTAATTAATATATGATGTTAAACATATTGTATTACCCGGAATAAGCACACCGAACGGTGTGCGCACAGACTTAAACTAGTGGTTTAGGTTTGTTCACGAAACAATTAGTTCCTTAGAATTTACAATCGAAGCAAGTATATAGTATACAGTTCATATATAAATATACCATATATTTTGTTTTGTTATTTTATAGTTTTGTTTACTTTGCTTTATTTTTATGGCTACAATAAAATAGGAAGAACAAGCTTTGGTTAAAAATGAGCAGAATCAATAAAGGGACAGCTTGAAATGCGACGTATGGTTAGATGAAATAACAAAAAGATGAACATGCAACAAGATTTGGTTGATTGCCAGGGTCGAGAGTTTTGGTGTAGACAATTTAAAATAGTTAAAACTTAAAAAGAAGCTCTTCCAGCAATATGGGTTTATACTTGGGGAGAAGGGCTTGGTATATATAAAGCTAGGGAGGCACAGCAGCAGCAATAGCGACGTGGGCATGGCAAGCTGTACGTGAGCAGGCGGCGCACCAAGTTGTTTGATTCTTTAAATTTTACTTTTACGTTACGGTTTCCTGAGTTTGTCAACTTTATGCCTAAAATTGTTAATAATCTTCTCTGCTAATGATCTGGTTGTGGGTGTTTTGTATACTTTCTATGTTGCAGGCAAAAAACTGCCCGCGATTTGCATCTGGTTCTCACTGCTTTCCACTGCTGCTCAGTCTTGACAAAGTCTTACTGTATTTATCGTTTTGTATTTATCATTTTGTTTGCTGGATTCTCTTTCGCGAACACGATTTATAAAAAATATGTATTGTGTATATAACGTGTTTTTTTGTCGGTCTATAACTAGGCCCTAATTGGTAGCTCTAATGGCAGTGCGGCAGTTCCCTTTGGCGCACCGCTTTGCTCACGCTGCCCGGAAACAAGCAAATCTCAGCGAAAATGTCAACGAAGGTTATGTACAATAGTTTGGGCTGGTGTAAACACAAAACTAATAACGAGCTCGTTCGGAAACAAAGCAAAGTATTGAAAACGTTAAGGATGAGTTAGCGCTTAATATTTACAATTTTCTTTGTATTTCATTTCTTAACGGGTTTCTGGAACTGCTTGGCAGGCGCTGCCAGGACATTTAAGGTAACACGGGGCCAGGTTACAGGTTACTAATGTATGTTTCCCCCCGATCCCACGGGACGGGCCACGGGGGCTACTCCTCAAACTAGAGCCACAATCAGTTCTTGACCTTGTCCTCCACACTGATGCTAGCAAGTGTCTTTTTGATGCGCAGCGCCGTCAGGCGGGCCACTGGATTGGGATACCAGCACTCCTTCATCACCTTGGCCATATTGTGGAGCACGTCGGAGGCGTGCCAGCGGTTTGGAATGTTAGGACGGCTCTTTTCAATGCAAACCACCTCAAGGGAAATTATAAAAAGTTAGTCAAATCGATTCTCTCCTTATTTAAAATCAAAAAGTTACCTTCTTCATCTCCTCAATGCTGGGGTCTGGCTGCACGGCATCGTAGTACGGCAGTTGGTACTCGTCGTAGATCATGCCCATGTTGCATCGACGTGCAATCTCCCAAAGGATCAGGCCAAAGGCGTAAACATCCGCCCGCTTGTACGAGTCGAAGTGCTGGTCGTTCATGCTCTCGTCCAGCACCTCTGGTGCCATATAGCGCTTGGTACCCACGCGATGAGTGGAGGGTATGTCCACCGAGTCGTTCTTTTCCACGTGGCGCACGGCCAGGCCCAAATCCCCAATAGCACAGCTCAGGTTTGATTTGACCAGTATGTTCTTGGACTTGAGATCGCGATGGGCAATGGCGGGCTTGCCGCGGGTTCCCACAATGTCCATGTGCAGATGAGCCAGCCCAGTGGCAATACTCAGCGACATGTTTAGCATGGTGTTGGTGTCCACCGTGTGCGTAGTTAGATAGTCAAAGAGCGATCCGTTCTCATGGTAGTCGGTTACCAGCCACAACTGTGTCCAAGTTCCGTTGTCTGTACGAAAAAATAATTTAAAAATGTAAGCATTTAAGGAATCTCTCAGAGAAAGTGCAGATGGGCTCACCCTTGTTGTCCGCAGCTATGAAGCCCAAAATATTCTCGTGCCGAAGCATTACCGTCTGATAGATTTCCGCCTCGCGGAACCAGGAGCACTCTTCGCGACTAGAGAAGATCTTTACCGCCACGTTCTCTCCGCGCCAACGTCCACGCCAGACTTCGCCGAAGCGCCCCTTTCCAATGACATGACACAGCTGCACCTGGCGGGCAATAGAACGCTGCACCAGCAGGGGCAGACCAGCTAAAAGAGAGGAAACGAAATTAGGCCAAATTGAAGTTGGGAACTCACCCCATGGAACTCACCCGAACCCGAACCGGAGGTGGTCATCTCAATGATGTCGTGGATGGTCGTATTACCATTTAGTATGGGATCGTACACGGAGTCCTCCTTGGCAAACGGCCTGCCGCTGGCCAAGCGCTTGCGACGTTGGCAGTAGTACCAAGTACTTGTGCCAGTGAAGCAAATGATTAGGGTGGCCCCTAGGATGATGGCCACAAACTCCCAGCTGGTCAGACGATGTGGCACGTAATCTGTACAGAATCCACAGACACTTTCATTATTAAGGGCAGACAAAGGGTTCTTCATGTAAATGTGATCGAATTAATGGAAAATAAATACAAATAGAATGCAGAATGTTAGTCAATCAGTTGAGAGTGGCATGCAGGAAGCCGTTAACAAGTAAATGTGCGTGATAACAGTAAGAAATCAGGGTGCAAAAACGAAACGAAACAAATCCAAACCCAAAAGCTCATTCCAAACACTGTTAGCGGTTAGTAATACTTAAATATAGTAATTTATTTACAAAAACAGCACTGACCTGCACATGAATAATTTGAGTTATTTACAAACCTTTGCACATACCATACGGCAACGAGCCTAGGATCTACTTCAAAACTACTAAATAATGGAGCAAACTTAACAAACAAAAACTAAATTTTTGGCTGTTTACAATAAAACAAAACGAACCAAATCCAAGCCCAGTCCCAAACGAGATATTTCGCAGACGAACTAACTCATACAGACATACCAACCTCCCACTGAACAAACACAAAAGTGCAATGGAAATGAGCGAACAACTGCGAAAAACAATATGGACAAGTATGCCGCACTGCCGCTTAAATACTCTATCAGAAGTCTATCTTGAGTTTAAGTTAATAATCGATTTAATTTGGATTAAGAAATTGTCAAATTTTGAGTAAAAAAACCTACTTTGTACTTTAATAAATTATATGAATGTTTTTGGTGTCACGATTCCAAAGCGTATTATAATCCGTTATAATCAAAACTAAAAACTTTGCTTAAAATAAAAAAATAAATATTTTAGTATAAACAAATTATTATCAGTTTTAGAAACGTGACACCAAAAACCATCATATCATTTATTATAAAATAACTAATATTGTAAGTAGCTTTGAATAAATAACTTTATATAGCTTATTAGTGCTAAAGTGTAAAATTTAATTGCTTTGGCATATTGAGTGGGCTAATGGAACTTCTGCTAGGGTAATAAGTATGAAAAAGCGGCAGACTGCGGGGCAAAAAATGCGGCCATTAATGAATGAAATGAGAGACCGTTGACTGCGACTTGCAGTTGCAACTGCAGCTCTGAAAGCGGCATTGCACATGAATGAAAAAGGGCAGACACACAGATACACACGCACACCGGCACAGACATTCAGGGGATTGGGCGGAAGGGGGGACAAACAAGGCCACCGTCTGCAAGGGCTTCTTGAAACTCCCACTCCTCCCGCCGACGGCCCTTGAGACGGGTTTGTTGTTGCTGGTAAATGCCTTGCTTACTTCCTTCTTAAATGCGTTTTTAACAAGTCAATACGATGATGACGCAAAAGGTCAGGTCAGCAGACAAACCCGCAGAACGGTGCGGCACCAACTCAGTTGACAGGTGCAAAGGTGGCGGCCTGAATAACAGGTGGGGAGTGGGGAGTGGGGGTTGTGGGCTGGGGGCGGTTGGCCAGCAGACGAGGCCACAGACAAGGTAACAATGTGGTGCGTACAATTTACATGAGATGTGGCAAGGAAAGTCAACGTATAAACAAGGACGACATGCCAACGAAACAACACATTGGAGCGAAATAAAACCCTGTTCCCAATCGCGTTCCTATCCAAAATCCCCCATTCGTGTATTTGAATATAAAACCTTTACTGATCATAGCTTTCTTAAATTTCTTTAAAAAAACGTTGTTTTTCAGAATCCCAAGAAATTGCTTTATCAATCAAGAAAAATTTAGAGATGTGGCATTTAACTTATTTTTTCGGGAAACCGCTTACAAATAATGATTGTTCATGAAAATTAATTCAAAATCAAAAGACCATAATCATAGCGGAGTTGAAAAGGCTATCAAAAGTATTTGCTTGAATAGAACGAATTGGGAACAGGGTCCGACGTTTACAATACCTATTCTTCCCTCAAAGGACGAACAAGGACGAAGACTGGGGTGGGATGGTGTGTTCGCTGAAAGCGTGGGTGTGCGAGGTGTGTGTGTTAGCCAGGTATTCTTACGCGTGTATGTATGTATTTCTTGTGTGAATTCAATGTGTTACAAATTTGAGTATACCAAAAAAACTTCGCAAATGAGGTGGTGCAATGGCATGGGCGTGGCTGCTTCGATGGCTGGTGGTTGGATTGTTGGGTGGTGGTGGTGGTGGTGGGGGTGGCGGTGTTGTTGTGGGCGGTGCATTGCTGGTCTCACCTGGTAGGACACCACTGTAATTCTCACGCGTATTGCAATAATCTTCGGCACAGCACTGTGAAGAGGCTGCCTCCGAATTTAATTTGCACGAGGTCGGATCTTCAGGTGGCAACTGGTCTGTTATGCATCTACATACATAATATTTAGTTGGGGTTTGTTTTTATCTACTAAGTTGCGTTAGCTGTTCTTTTTTAGTCTACATCTAAATTAGGCTCTAGGTTTTCGGGTAGTAGGAGATTAGCACTTGTTGTTCTAGTTGTTTTCGTTGTATTTGTTGCGGTGTGCAGTTACGAAGCAGCTTTTGTTACCACTTACAAGCTAAAATTTAGCAGCAGCTTTTGTTTATTTATTTTTGGTGGTAGCTCAGCCAGGATAGGGGTTGGGGTGGTTTTTCAGCTGCAGCAGGTGGATTCAACTGTGTTTTCGGGTGCAAAGGCAGTAAGCAGAGTCTGTCGGCCATCAAAATACCAGGGAATTATGGGGGGAAACCACTGCCAAATGTGGGAGAGGTGGGGCTTACTAGACTAGTTGTTCAGACCAGTTCCATGCTTCACTTTCCACGAATTATTTTGCATTGAAGTTCAATTTAAACAATTTGCCAGTGGCAGCGTTTTAAATTGCGACTTCAAGAATGTTTTCTAAATGTCAAGCAAAACATACTGAAGTGAGAATCGGAACTGGACTGTATGTTCCAAAACAATAGGCCAAGGAACACAGCGAAGAAAATCATTTCGGGGAATATCATAACTTATAAAGGAGGATTTACACATATCAGAAGTCTGATTTTAAAACAGAAACCGAAATAGTCCTGGACAAACTTCGTAAATTGAGCCATGTCCTTGGAAACCACAGATTCTTTAGAAAAAAGAGAGCAGAATAGTGAAAAGATAATGCTCCCAGGACAAAATACAAATTCACCCCTTGAGTGAAAAGTCACATATCTACAAACTACTAACACGATTCGAATTTGCAAAGATACTTTGGCATGCATAGAGATACGTGTAATTTATTAAGATAAGGTGTAAGCTGGATTCCGTATAAGATTTATAGTGTGTGTTTGTGCCACAGGGAAAAGCAAGGAGAAAAGAAATCAGTGAAAAGGTAAAGAAAAAAGAGAGGTGGGAGCCCAAAAAGCGGAAGAGGTGCAAATAGTTAAGGTAAATAATAAACTTAAGAGACAAGACTTAGGCGTTGTGCACACCTGAAAGAAAAACTGACTAAGCTAAACCAAAATATTATTACAGATTATTGATAGTTATTACTTTAATTAAATTGATGCAGTGCTAAATTAGGCAAAGTGAATTAGAAAGTGTGCAAACTAAAGAGAGAAATTGTATTGTTGTTGGTTGTGTGGTTGTTGTTACTTGAATGTGGCAGTACCTTTTTCAAATATCCTCTTCATAAGTTCATTCTTATTGCAGAAATCAGTTCTACAGCACTCAATCCTAAACGAGTTGTACTTTTCGTTACTAGTGAGGCATTCAAGGGGTTTACTCCGCTGCATATTGTATTTCACAGTAATGCACCTACATCACCGTACAGCACGGTACACAATTATGTAAACGGATTTTTGTATATGCGATATATGCGAGTAAAGGCCGAAGGGAGCGAAGGAGCGATCGGGATATAGAGAAAAAATAACAATTAAACGAAATTAGTATTGCTTGGCATTGGTTGCTGGTTTGCTGCTGCTTCTGCTGTAGTTGTTGCTGCCTTCGGCTTGTTGGTAATCGAAGTTTCAGTCTGGTTAGTAGCAATAAAAGTATTATAATTATATTTAAAACAATGTGTATAATGCCGCTCTGGTTTTCAGAAGGTCATCATTAGTAGTGCTCTGCATTTCGGGTTATGATCATTTCAAAAACTTCAACTCAACATTGCATAAGTGGGGGATCGGTCAAAACTTGGGCAACTTGTTCTTGAACGGCGTGCGAGAGAACAGAAAGAAGAGGGAGCAGTCAGAGAGGAAAGGGTTTAGGGGCGAATCACGTGCAGAAGCGCACGAACCTTCGACAGCGACATGCCGACCATCCAAGGGGCTCGACGGCTGGTCCTTCGTCTTCGGCCGCAGATAGCGGTTGCAGAAGTCTCTGTCCTTGCAGCAGGCGTGGGCGCCACTCCGGCCCACCGGACGGACCGTGGGACCGCCGTGCAAGCCATCGTTGCACCAGATGGAGCGGCCCGGCGGAAAGATTTGCGACTTGTGCAGACATCTGCATCGCAGGTCATACGGATCAGATATATATGTTCACACTGGCTGCTCTGGGGGACAAGTGCTAACCTAATCGAAGGCCTGCTCATCAGGCGCACAAAACTCACCTGTAGCTGAATTCGATGGTGCCATCGACGTTCTTCTCCACCGACGTGAAGCAATAGCCGTCCGTCTCGCAAATGTTGTTGGAGTCCTTGCAGATGTCGCAGTGGCACTTGATCTTTTCTAAAGGTTAAGGGAGGCAGAAATGCATTGTTCAATAATGTTTTTGTTATGATGCTTGGAAAATTAAATTATTCGAGTACACAAAAAAAGGCACAAATTACCATTGCCAAAAACAAAAGATTTTTATTTAAAAAACAAACCCTTTACACCAAATATGATCACGTCAATAAGATGATATTTGTACTATTGAAGCTTGAATAACCGAAGCTCATATGCATGTTCATATAAATAAAGGTTTAAAAAGTCTATCCTCGAAAGGAAAATGCTGACGACATTAGAAAGACTTAAAAATATATATACAAGCATGAATAAAAATATCTCACGGGCACGTCAATAGGGTAATACTCGTATGTTTACTATTAGGTATGTAAAGCCGATGCTCATGCATGTTCAAATAAATAAAGGTTTAACAAATCGGGGTATTGCCCATATATAGTGGTAATCTACCAGCAGGTGGAAAAGTTTTAATGCATAGACCCTAGTAATTAAATATAGTCATGTATAAGCAAGCTCATTTCCACGGTATTCATAAATTTATTATCTAAACAAGTAAAACACAAAATCAAAGCTCATCTCCAAGCTCTGTTAACTAACAGCCTGAATTCTCAGATTATGAAAATGCCCAGACCCCGATTGAAGCAAATCAATCAATTAGGTGCTGGCAGAAATTAACTAATTAGAGGACGCAGAGATCCATAAATCAACCGCTCGCAGATTGTCATCTCCTTCGGCAGTGACTATAAGTTTGGATTTGCCATAACCATGCCCCCGAGGCACCTGGCCGGGCACACGCTCGCCCAGACAGACATCCACATTCACCGGCACCGCCGAGAGCGTGATGAAACAAAAACAAAACCATTTAGCATTAACAAAGCAGACGCGGAGAAGACAAGTGCAAAGTGGAGGGCCAGACAATGCGACCAGTTTTTCCGTCCCCCGACTGCGAAAACCCAGGGCTTAGGCCTGCTTTTTGTTTTTTTTTTCACCGACTGCAGTTGCAAGTGCCCGAGTGCAGCAAGCAAATGCATCCAGACGTGGGGGTGTCTGCTGCCAGGCAGCGTTGGAGTGGGCCATGAGAGCTGTCTGGCTCAGCTCATTGACACCACACCGAGCTGACGTCACGAGATGGGAACGGAATCGGAGCCACAAGCGGAGGCGCAGAAGAAGACGGCCTCTTAGAAGCATTCAGAGTCTTTGAGGTGTTACAGTCACGCGATATACACTCGGAGAAAAGACCACAATAATATTCAATTGTAAAAAGTTAAACAATTATTACAACGAAATTTTGAGTCCTTCCTTAATTTAAATTCCTGTTCTAGTCAATTTTAAAAGCAGTTAAAAAATCCAAAAAAATTCTAATCTTTCGAAATTTTTAATGCTACACGTTTAAGAGGTTGTTCAATAAATCTAGATTTGTCTAAATCAAGTTCAATCTAAACTATGTCAATTAAACAACAAGTTTAGTTGTGTTTACTTTAAATTAAAATAATGTGCATAGTTTTTAATTAAAGTGTCCACCTGGGTGGAACCATTCCCTTTTTAATATTTAGCCTTTCTGTATGATGTACAAACTAACTACGGTATTTGTAGTTCTATTTAAAGTTTGAACTATAAATAAATGCAAGCCTAATGTTAACCAAGCGAGTTCGAGTAATTCATTCGATTGTGAAAACAGAGTGAGTCAAAAACTTCTTGTTTATCAGATAATTTCCTAAACATGTATTGTGGGTACTTTATCTTTCAGTGTGCTCTCCGTTGAAACTTACTTTCTGGTTTCTTGGAGCTCGGCTGAGCTACGTAGATGGGCAGCTGGGGGGCAACAGCCGTGGCAACTGCTCCGGATCCGTCGCCGTCTTGCGGCAGCGGCATGGTCGCGGCGCTACCGTTGTTGCTGTTGTTGTCGTGGCTCCTGTTATCAGCGGCCAGCGACGACGATGGCGATTGATAAGACTGGCCAGCTGTTCCGTTCGGCGCCTTCATCGCCGGCGCTTTGCTCGTCGGGGGCCACTTGCCAGGGTGGGAAGCCGTCGCAGGATCCGATCGGGAGCCATTTAGACTGGTGTCCATCACAAATTCAATGGGGGAGGCTGTACAGAGGGAGATTTTAGGTTAGTTTCGCACCTGATTCTGACTGGCGGAGCCCCTGGGAAACTCACAGCAAACGGAGGCGCCGAGCAGAGCGCCCAGGAAGATTAGCCGCGGCACAGATAACATGTTTGGTATTCGCATCGGTGATAGTGTGTGCGATCCGAGCTATTGTTATTGTTTGTGCGGCCAGGGGGCTTTTCTTTTGTTTTCCACGATCGCACGCACACGCGCGTCGCAAGTTCAAAGTCTGTGGCCTGCAAATGAGGTTGTTTCGTGCGAGGACGAGCCGCAGGAGCAGGAGGAGCGGCCAAAGGACACCTCAGACAGCCACTAATTGGCCCCGAATTGCGCATTTATGGCGTAGGACACGCGTCCGCGGAGTCTCACATTTTGCTGGGGCATCGCCGGGTATATAGTTAGCCGATTGTAACGCGATTTGCGAAATTCGATGAAGGGGGCTCGCACTCGAAACTCGAACTCCTCACTCCGCCCAAAGTTGGTTGGAAAAACTGCTCTGCCTTACATTTCACGGACGAGGGCGACTTTTCAGGCGGATTTTCATCACGTGATTTGAGGCAGTGGCGCGGTGGAATTGACACTGTTTTCGGTTCCGTGAGATGTCCGGCACTTTCGGGTGTCTGGTGCAACCGTTTGTTTGTATTAATTGCTGCTATTTTGCGTTAAATATACAATTTAGTGCAGCGAAAAACCCGCGCTGGTGTGTGTGGATTTGCAAACAGTGTGACCGCACCTGCGCCAGTATGGCCAAGTGAGGCTAGCCACAAAATCCACCCACTCGCCGGCGAACTGCGCTAAAATACCCAAACGATAATTATTGACGGTATAGAATCTGGATTGTGGTTTATGTTGGAAAATCGCTTGTTTCAAGGATACATGGCACAATTTGAATTTTTTGTAACATAAATTTATTTCCAATAACTGCAGGTACTGCGCAAGAGCCCAGGAATCCAATCAGAATCAAAATGCGGGGCACGCGACGGGAAAATGGTCATGTTTCGGTCGGCTGGCCATTTTCTATTGCCACAACAGGCTGAAGACGTTCAACGGCGGCATGCCGGGCTCAGCTCCCTTCATAAAGCCTGTGTAAATACAAATTGGACAAAATCAATGTCGGGTAACAACATTCCGCGGCTGCTTCTTCTTCCCAGCCGCGTGCGGATGGGCAGAAAACATGAACCAAAACTCACCCAAATACAGGACAAGGGGAACAAATCCCCAGTGGAATCCCGTCTGCACGGCGCCAACAACAACTCCCAGGCGCTCCTTGACTCCCTCGGAAAGTTCCATTTCGTGCGGATAATTTACTTAGTCTGTTTAGCGAATTATGAAATGAAGTCCAACAACGAAACCCACAAAAACGATAGTGTTGGTAAACTCCGGTTTGAAGCGAGCGAAACAGCTGACAGGAAAAAATTGAAATTAAATGATAACCTTTTCTATATTTTCCAAGGACAGATCCGTCGCAGATTGCTGGGCCTGAAACAAAGGCAAAATTTGGGAAATTCCAAAGTCAGTTTGTAATAATCACTGCTCTCCGTTGGGGTGGCATCGCTGGCAACCCATCGGTATTTTGTTATATATTTCTAAGACGGGCACACTGCACACAGCAGTTGCGCAATTTTTTGAATGAGGTTCGCTAAAAGGGTTTTTCTAAATTTATACTTGTTACATGAAAACCTACCGAATACACTACCAAACGGCAGTAATAAAGTCAATGTTATATATAATTGAGACATATACACATGAGCGATGTCTCATTTTATTGTTAGTTAAGGACTTACACGAGGAAGAAGGGAGCACAGCATTTAATGTCGGGGTCGAGGTGTTGGTACGGCTCTTTGATTATTGCTCTCTTTAATACGTTGACCAAATTAAGAAAGAATCAATCGAAGATTTCCCTAGCCAAGTACTGATACCAATCATGATTTAAATAAATACCCACGTAGGTAAAACTGTTATATGTCTGAATCAAAACTTAAAATGCACTTGACAGTTCACAAGATAGCTTATCCAGAATATCCATAGTAAATAAGGGCTTGATAAAGTAAAGTACATAAGCTCTCCAAAGTAAATACGGTTTAATACACATTGGATGTTTTTGTATAGTGTTGAATCTAACTGTTGTGTTTTTCTTTTTCGGTTTATTTAACGTTGCGGTCGGAAAAAAGGATTATAAGTGTAAGAAATAAGAAAAGGAAATAGACTTTTTTAGACTTGTCAGGCCTCAATGCAAAAATGTATTTATGAACAATCGATTTCCAGCCAAAGCGAAATGTGAATCATTTTAAATTTTAAACGAACTTTCTGAACTTTCATTCCTTGAACCGAAGTTTACTTTGTAAACTGTATAACTTTAGTTACGTTAAAAAATCTACATTTATTTATCTGACAACTGGTAAAAACTAAGTTTAACAATTGAATACCCTGACTGACTATCGAAGCACAAAAGTGCTCCATAAAGCGATAGTATCGTAGCCACTTACAGCCCCACCTCTAATCCTGCATCCCTTTCGCTCTCGCTCCGCTCACATGTGTTCTAAATCGTTTTATTTTCTTGATTTTCATTTGCTCGCCAAATTGTAGCAACGTTGCTGGTTTAATCGGCTGCACCTGCAATCGCGGATAATCAGAGAGCGCAGACGGACACTCAGTTTTCATTAGCACCCGAAACGTAAGTGATAAGAAACAGCTTTCTGTGCTGTCGCTTGCAAGCAGCGAGCAGCACCAGGGAAAAATCAATTCGGGTTATGTAAGCTCGAATAACCGGATACCGTGCTCTCCATTCGCAGGTCCCGATCGGATTGGAACTGCAACGGACCATGAAAACAACCAATCTCGGCCTGTACGCTTTCCGTTTAACCTTCGGTCAGGTGAGCACTCGCACATTAAACCAGAAAAACAGGGGACAACATGCGCCATTTGGGGGCAACCACTGAGTGTTCCGGCCAGGCGAACCCCCAACCACAATCCCCGCACGCAATGGAGCAACTGCAGCCGGGAGACGCGTGCCTGGAGTGCCAAGGTCTGGGCAGGAGTCACAAGCTACGCTACTTCTACATAAGTCTCGAGGAGCAGCTCTTGAAGTGTGAGTCCAGGAGCTGCTTGTGGCCTCACAACGACGAGGTCTCCTCGGATGAGGAGCTGGAAATGGAGGCTCCAGCTCCTCTTGAATCCGTCAGTCTGCCGCCACCTCCTCTCGAGCCTACCAATCTGCCTCCACCTCCTCTGGAGTCTAACAATCTGCCTACGATGGAAGCTGTTCTAGGCTCAGAGAATTCTCCAGATGATGACGACAATTTTATACTGGAATTGCTGCAGCAACTGACTCCGGCCACAGCAACCGAATCCGTTGGAGCGCCCCCTGTATCAATTATGAATCTCAGCTCCATGCCGGATCCTCGGTCTCCAGAGGATGCAGAAGTAAAGCCCTGTCCTACACTGGGCCTTCCGGATTTGAGCTTCCTACAGGAAAACATTCCCGAACACAAAGAACCAGCAAAAGCTGTGATAGCCAATCGGGAAGAACCCCTCCCATTCAAACTTAGGACTCCTCCCAAGCTAAAAACCACACAAACTCATAGTTTTAAAGTTAAGCAGGAAGTGGCTGCTCCAGTCAAGACTTCTGCTGGGCCTAGCTGGCAAGGCAAAATGGAGATACCCCTAGTGCCCGCCAGTATAAAGACGTCTAATAGTATTAAACCCAAGGGAGATCCCTTCAGTACTCCGCCCAAGAAAGCATCGACTCAGCCACAGACACCGACACAATCGCCGCCAGCTGTCAACATAATTATCAGCATTCCCGAGCTGAATCCCGCCATGCCCTTCCTCGACGCCATCAAGCGCCATTCCGCGGAGCCAAAGCCCTCTGCTCGTAGCGGAGTAAGACGACCCAAGCAGCAGGCCAGAGGAACCAACGGCAGAGGAATTCGCACGCAGGCTGTGAGACACTTGATCGAGCACCTGGAAATCACCAAGGATGCGAAGCTCTCGTCACCTCGACCATAATCAGCTGGCTTTTTACCCAACTTGAGTATTTAAAATAAATTTGCATATGGAATTATGCATGCAAGCACCGGACAAGAATTCAAGTTCGTTTATTTATAAACAATTCAGCTGGTTATTTTTTTTTTGGCAACGCAAGTTGAGGATTATTAATACGCGGCACGCGTCTAGAGCATGTTCAAGTGGACAGAGATAGCGCTGAAGAGCGAAGAGAGGCCATCCAATCAGTAGATGTGAACTTTGGAAAGGAGGTCGCGGAAACTGCGTCATGCGGCGATCCATTTCAAGCCGGGATTGGATGCCAATCTGCATACAACTGATAGGGCAAATAGACGTCACCAGGAATGTAATACAACGAAAATTATAGCAGGTGGATTTATCAACAAAGCATTACATCGACCCTCTGTAATCAGTTCAATGAACGTGGGAACATGTGGGGTAATCGCTTTCGCGTGGCCGGAGCACTTGAACCGGGTTGCCGACGGCCTGCGTAGAATGTTTCTGCTGCGCAGTTTGTCTATGTGGGCGGGGGGCATCAGGCAGTGGGCCAAGTTTATTGTTTGTTTGCCTAGCTATAAATACCCGACAACTATATCGGTTCTCCTATCTTATCTTCCGCAGGCGCCGCCGTTGTCCGCACAAGCTACGACACACTGCAGCCATGGCTACACCACCAGCTCGGCGTCGCCCAACCGTGTGGTGACCCGCTCGGCCACCATGCTGGCGGTCTTCGGCATCGCGCTGTCCTCGTTCAGCCTTAAGCAGCTGCTGGCCAAGAAGCAGAAGCACCAGGGCCTGCGCAAGCTCTAGGATGGGGATCTAGCCAAGGAGTGAAACGAAGATTGGAGCAATGCCAACACCAGCGGCAGGAGGAGCGATGAGGAGCCACAGCGCCATGTCCCGAGATCACACATTCGATTAGTTCATCACCCGTCATCATCGTGTATATTTACCTAAGTTAAGTCATCCACTCACCACAGACTCAACCGGAACTCGGACATGGAGGCTTGATTTGAAATATTTTCGTTAAATTGAGCGGAACCGATGCAGGACGATAGGGATCTATCTGGGCATATATAGATAGATGGATATTTTCTTGTTTACACATGCACACCATGCAGCGCCAACTAAAAGGAATAAATTTGTGATAAATCGTGTATGAACGTAGCCAATCAGCATACAAACTGAATGAAGGAGATAGAGATTCGCTAAATTTACGGAAATCCCAAATTTTCCTACACTCTTTTGTTGCCCTTTTTGTTTTATATATTTTATGTGTAAACAAGTCTATCATATACGTATATTTAGTTACAAGTTGTGTGCAAACCAGAGAAACGACTAAGTAAGAAGGGATAGACACAATAATGACTTCGTTGGATAGCAGATCGCCGAGCAGGCTGCGTCAGTATCCAAGAAACAAACTAGTTGTAGTTCCGTATTCAAATAAATGCATTCTATTCAATTCGAAACTTATGATTTTTATTTCTGTTTGTCATTTTAAATATTCTGATATAACCAATATTGAATAACCAATCCTACATCTGCTAGTCAGATTCTATTCGAAGTTCGAAATAAATAAATTAATCATGGATTTTGTAAAATTTTTAGTGTTGGAAATTGGTCGACTTCCTGAAGGATGATTGTAATATAAAAACAAATGGCGTAAAATTATCATGATGGATGATATATAGTTATCAAAGATAGATATATCAAAGATATCCGATAATACTTGAACCGAATCATACAAAAATGTAAAGAAATTCGAAAAATGTCTTAAGTTTTTTAAAGAGTTTGATGATACTGTTATTGCAATCTAAGTACCAAAAGCAAAAGGTTTATTATTACTATTTATACATGCAGCTTGTTGCAGGTCAAACACTTTTTAATGGATTCAAGTGCTGTCAGAAGTATTTTAAATTTCGCGCCATCGACTCAAAAAAACTGAGTGGCAGCACAGCCCCATATTGCAGATTTCCACAACGCCGCGCGAGGGTCACACTAGCATTCACCCCCTCACCCCGCCCAATGATCAAGTGACGTGCCACCAATATAACCATTGGCCGGCCAACAGCAATCTTTCGGACTGCGGAATGGGCATCAACGTCAGCAGGACGGCCGACCTGGGGTCCAACTCCTGGCTCCAGCGCTTCGTGGGCCGCCAGCACATCGCCCACGATGACGAGGCCTTCTGGAACGGACTGCTCAACTACAACATAGTGCTACCGGAAAGCAGGTGAGCGGAGGAGTGGTGCGGCAACGTCAGCAGTGCTAATCGCGGGAATGGGCTTGGGGTCTTTTAGCCAGGACCAGCTGAACTTGGACAGCCGACTGGAGGCGTTGTGCCAGTCCTTCATCGGCAACAACCTTAAGACGGGCAACTTCGGCTCCCTGGTGACCGTGTTCCTGGAGAAGACCAGCGAGCTGCTGTCGCTGTCCGACCAGGAGAGTAACATGCACGTGTGGCAGACCTTCAACGCGCTCTTCATCATCCGTAGCCTGGTCAAGTACATCAACGAGACGGGCTCCGAGTTCCAGCTGCTGCAGCACTTTGAGGCGATGCCCAGCGCCGAGCTGCTGCAGGCGGCCTTAGAGCAGCAGCAGCAGACGCCTGCGGAAAGCGCCACCATTGCCATGGAGGCAACCGAACAGTCGGCGGCGGTGCCGGTGATTGTGGACGGATCTAAGTTTGAGACCTTCATCGATGCGCTGGTCAATCTTATCGTTGTGATCCCCGTGAAGGAGTTCACCTACCACCTGCACCTGGAGGCCGTGAATATGCTTATCACCCTGCTGTCGGTGCACCTTTTCGCACAGCAGCCTACGGACAAGTCGATCGTGTTCCGCACGGTCTTCAAGTGCCAGCACGCCAACGTGCTAATGTCGGCACTGCTGCACTTTGTGGCGCGGATGGTGGAGGTGCCGAACACCATGTTCGGCTCCAGCTCAGCCGGATCCTTCGTCTTTGGCATCGCCGAGTCGCTGCTCTCCATCTTTACGTTCCGTAAGCAACCAGACGTGCTAAAGTCGGGCCAAGCAGCCGGTGGCGGCGAGCTGTTGGAGCGATTTCGCACGCACTATCCGCTGGCCAACCAGAGTCTTCTGCTGATCCTGATCTTGACGAACCACTGCACGGCGCAAGACAACGCGTACCGGACAAGCCTTTTTGGTTGCGCCGACTCCAAGGATTCGCCGAAGCAGGGTGCTGTCTCCTTCCAAATTGACTTCTCGGCGGTGTATGAGACTTTGTGCCTCATCGTCACCATCGACCAGGCCACGTTGCTGCTCTACCTTTTGCTTCATCGAAACGAGCGCTTCTACCGGTTCGTCATGCAGCAACAGGATCTAGAGCAGCTGGTGATACCCATTCTCCAGACACTGTACAATGCTCCTGACAGCAACTCACATCACATCTACATGTCGCTGATCGTCCTGCTGATCTTGAGTGAGGACGAGGGCTTCAACAAGAACGTGCACACTATTGTAAGACCACTGCATCCACTTTAAAGTAACCTAACTAACCCATATTCCTTCTATCAGATGTTGAAAAACATCACATGGTACACGGAGCGCACCATATCGGAGATATCGCTTGGCGGCATCCTCATTCTGATCGTCATCCGCACCATACAGTACAACATGCTGAAGATGCGCGACAAGTACTTGCACACCAATTGCCTGGCGGCGCTGGCCAACATGTCCGGCCACTTCCGCGCACTGCATCCGTACGTCGCACAGCGGCTGGTCTCGCTGTTTGAAACGCTGGCCCGGAAGCACACGCGTCTGGATGCGCAACTCAAAGAGCCGGCCGACAGCGCAGTATTTGTCAACGTGTCGACGACACCGGAGGACATGCTACAGGATCTGAGCGTGCTGGAGGAGGTGTTGCGCATGGTTTTGGAAATTTTAAACTCCTGCCTCACAAACCAGCTGGTTTACTGTCCCAACTTGGTGTATACGCTTCTGTACAAGCGAAGCGTCTTCGAGGGCTTCCGCAGTCATCACGCCTTCCAGGATGTCATTCAAAACATCGACATGGTGAGTTTGGAGCATTATTTAATTATGTTCTTCTGTGAACCTTATGTTTTCCTCTTTGACAGGTTGTTGGTTTCTTTTCCTCGCGTCTGCAGCGTGTGCAGGAGCAGCGAGGTGAGCTTGGCGTTAACGAGGTACTCGAGGTTATTTCCAAGGGTGCCAGTCAGTGGTCGAGCGACCGGCTGAGAGTAAGTTTTGAAAGTCTCTCTAATAGTCAATATGTTTATGTATCCCGTCTCTTCCTTACAGAAATTCCCGGATCTTAAGTTTAAGTACGTCGAGGAGGACGCTCCTGAGGAGTTCTTCATTCCATATGTGTGGATGCTGGTCTGCAAGTACGGTTGCGTGCACTTCAGCTCCGAGAGTATCAAGAGCGTCGCCACGGACATTGCCTGCTAATATTTACTACTCGCTCCCTTCCTCACACGCACACACCCGGCTCCGCTTTGGTTTTCACCATGTTTCAGTGCTTCTGCATTTGTGTTCTGTGCAGGATTACCCGATCTTTAAGCCATATACCACGCACCATCCTCTGATTCAAGCCAAAATGTCGAAATGTTATATCAAAAACGAAAACAAAGCAAGCGAAATGTTGCGCTAAATAAGAGGCATATGCATCTCGAAAGTTGACGATAATTGAAACATAGCAAACGAGAGAACTAACGATAATACTTAGATCTAGTTACGCTAATACTATTGAGTATGTTAACAAGCAATCCAATCGGAAATTGTACAAGTTAAAACATAGCATAATCCTTAAAACATGATCATATTTTGCTACGCCAACAACAGAGAGCATATTTAAAGGAAAGTTAAGCTCGTACGCCTATAGATTGATTGCTCTAATCAACGGAAAGATGCAAATCCAATAAAACGTATATATACATATTAAAGAATCGGAATATATATGCAAAAGTATATTTACATTTTAGTCTATGATAATTATATATTATTGTATTTAGCAATTGGAAAAGTCGATAAATTATATATTAACTAAAGTTCATCAGTTTTTTGCTTTCTTCTGGCCTGTGGAATTGTATTTTTCCACT